CGGTTGTACCTCAGCGCTTGGCTGTAGACGATGGATCGTGTGGTGTGTCCGGGATGGGAGCTGGAGGCATAAAGGTAGGCATAGCGCTCGGTGGGTTTTTGGTATAGGGTGGTGTTAATGTGACCATCACTTATTTGTACCATGGTGTCTAGGAAGTGGACCTCCTGTGTAGATTGGTCCAGGCTGAGGTTTATGGTAGGGTGGAAGCTGTTGAAATCGTGGCGGAATTCTTCCAGAGTCTCCTTCCCATGGGTCCAGATGATGATGATGAAATCATCAATGTAACATAGGTAGAGAAGGGGCATAAGTGGACGAGAGCTGAGGAAGCGTTGTTCCAGGTCAGCCATAAAAGTGTTGGCATAATGTGGGGCCATGTAGGTGCCCATAGTGGTGTATAAGGACAAGTTAATTGCTATCAAACTACACTGCATATTTTGTAATTCTTGCAATCTATATCAGGTTTTAATTCAGAACAACCAAGCTCTGGGATTGGATGCCTCAGGAGATAAGAAGTTAAACCTTTCAACTCCTGACCACTGGTTGAAATTTAGCCTACATTTGTAATATGAAAGTAACGAGTGACGACAATTTGTGTGACCTGTGTGAAATGAGCAGGTGGTCTCAATCTATTTCCTAGTGGACAGTGTCTACATCCTAAAGGAATACATAGCTGTGCCACTCACTAGAACCCTTGGTGGTAGTGTTAGGAGAGAAGCTAATGATTCACCAGGCATGGAGACTGAACTACCTTCACCATTAAGGCTTGGCAAAATGTTCATATTGTAACTATGTCTGAACACAGTTGTCAACACTGCTAGCTGAATAGGAACTGAACACAGTGGTTAGCCAGTGGGCCACTGAACACCATTTGTTGTAGTATATAGACTCCCAAACTCTGTTCAGCCCTCATTCAGCTAACATGGCTACTGCCAACACTGTTCAGAAACTGTACAATTTCATAGTGTTGACAAGGCTGTAGAGATGCAGATGATAGTTAAAACACATTTATGGAGCAAGATTTAGAAGCTTGTACTGTCACTGCCTATGCTGAATTTTCCTGTGGAAGAATCAGTCTATCTTTCATGAGCAGTAAATTCACTTTAAAAAAAGGGGCAGTAAATGGGAATACACCAGAGGCAGGATGTCTAGCCCCTAGGTAAAATATACTTTGTATCACACACAACAGTAAATGTTCAAGCTAATGGACTATGATGTCTTTTCTTCCCTCCCACAAATTTTCCTCTATTTTATCACAATAGCACTCTTAATTTGTTGGACGTGGAGGTACAATATACACTTTATTATTGTATTTTAATAAGCAAATTACAGTAAAGAATTAAAATAGTGTGAATGTAGTGCTGGAGAAATGTGGCCGTCTATTTGTTTCTCAGGAGAGGTGGGGCCTCCAAGGTGAACTCATTACAGAAACATGAATGACCTCCCCTTCAGGGGAGGGGTGGGACCACCAGGAATCAGAAGTCAGTTAAATAGGGGTGACAGATGAAAAGTGCAGAGATGGGAATGAGAGCAGACAGACAGTAATAGGACACTGCTGTGACATGTGGCAGGCTGACCTACATGGAAGCTGATTTGCTGTTTTTAGCCTACAGAATGGGTACTGCCTGAGCATTGACAGAATAAGTTTTGCTCACTGTCCTGTCAGTGTTTCACCCCTCTTGTTGCCAAAAGAAAAAAGGGGAGATACCTCATGGTTAATCATAAACCAGTCTCTCTCACTAAACAATCAAACTGATAGCAAGAAAC